TAATAAGAACAGCTACACTACACTACTACTACTGTTATTAATAAGAACAGCTACACTACTACTGCTGTTATTAATAAGAACAGCTACACTACACTACTGCTGTTATTAATAAGAACAGCTACACTACACTACTGCTGCTGTTATTAATAAGAACAGCTACACTACTACTGCTGTTATTAATAAGAACAGCTACACTACACTACTGCTGCTGTTATTAATAAGAACAGCTACACTACTGCTGCTGTTATTAATAAGAACAGCTACACTACTGCTGCTGTTATTAATAAGAACAGCTACACTACACTACTGCTGTTATTAATAAGAACAGCTACACTACTACTGCTGTTATTAATAAGAACAGCTACACTACACTACTGCTGCTGTTATTAATAAGAACAGCTACACTACTGCTGCTGTTATTAATAAGAACAGCTACACTACACTACTACTACTGTTATTAATAAGAACAGCTACACTACTGCTGCTGTAATTAATAAGAACAGCTACACTACTGCTGCTGTTATTAATAAGAACAGCTACACTACACTACTGCTGCTGTAATTAATAACAACAGCTACACTACTGCCCCCGTCAGGTCTGAGTCTGTACTACAACAGAGCACTGATTCTGTGGTATTACAGAGTATGATCTGTTCCACATGAATAGGGACTCTTGCTCACTCCATAAGCATCCTTGGTACTAAGTGCTTTGGTGGACTAGCTGAAGAGCTCAAGCAGGCTGAAATGAAATATTAATTATGTTTTATACAACAATCAGCCTGAGCCTGAGAGCAGGGTTACTTCCCAAATGGCACCCTATCCCCTATATAGTGCACTACTTTAGACCAGAGAATAGCACCCTATTCCCTATATAGTGCACTACTTTGACCCATAGGGCCCTGGGTATAGGTTGCCGTTTGGGACGCAGCCTAGTTCACCATGCTGCTGCTGGAAGCATCCTGAATTATTCAATACCACTCTACTCTTACCACACACACACACACACACACACACACACACACACACACACACACACAGAGTCTGTCACCGAACAGGGCCCCACCAGCTAACAGCTACACCACTGAGTCTGTCACTAAACAGGGCCCCACCAGCTAACAGCTACACCACTGAGTCTGTCACCGAACAGGGCCCTACCAGCTAACAGCTACACCACTGAGTCTGTCACTAAACAGGGCCCCACCAGCTAACAGCTACACCACTGAGTCTGTCACTAAACAGGGCCCCACCAGCTAACAGCTACTCAGGCCCCACCAGCTAACAGCTACACCACTGAGTCTGTCACCGAACAGGGCCCTACCAGCTAACAGCTACACCACTGAGTCTGTCACCGAACAGGGCCCTACCAGCTAACAGCTACACCACTGAGTCTGTCACTGAACAGGGCCCCACCAGCTAACAGCTACACCACCGAGTCTGTCACCGAACAGGGCCCCACCAGCTAACAGCTACACCACTGAGTCTGTCACCGAACAGGGCCCTACCAGCTAACAGCTACACCACTGAGTCTGTCACTAAACAGGGCCCCACCAGCTAACAGCTACACCACTGAGTCTGTCACTAAACAGGGCCCCACCAGCTAACAGCTACACCACTGAGTCTGTCACCGAACAGGGCCCCACCAGCTAACAGCTACACCACTGAGTCTGTCACTAAACAGGGCTCCACCAGCTAACAGCTACACCACTGAGTCTGTCACCGAACAGGGCCCCACCAGCTAACAGCTACACCACTGAGTCTGTCACTAAACAGGGCCCCACCAGCTAACAGCTACACCACTGAGTCTGTCACTGAACAGGGCCCTACCAGCTAACAGCTACACCACTGAGTCTGTCACTAAACAGGGCTCCACCAGCTAACAGCTACAGCACTGAGTCTGTCACCGAACAGGGCCCCACCAGCTAACAGCTACACCACTGAGTCTGTCACTAAACAGGGCCCCACCAGCTAACAGCTACACCACTGAGTCTGTCACCGAACAGGGCCCCACCAGCTAACAGCTACACCACTGAGTCTGTCACTAAACAGGGCTCCACCAGCTAACAGCTACACCACTGAGTCTGTCACCGAACAGGGCCCCACCAGCTAACAGCTACACCACTGAGTCTGTCACTAAACAGGGCTCCACCAGCTAACAGCTACACCACTGAGTCTGTCACTAAACAGGGCTCCACCAGCTAACAGCTACACCACTGAGTCTGTCACCGAACAGGGCCCCACCAGCTAACAGCTACTCAGGCCCCACCAGCTAACAGCTACACCACTGAGTCTGTCACCGAACAGGGCCCTACCAGCTAACAGCTACACCACTGAGTCTGTCACCGAACAGGGCCCTACCAGCTAACAGCTACACCACTGAGTCTGTCACTAAACAGGGCCCCACCAGCTAACAGCTACTCAGGCCCCACCAGCTAACAGCTACACCACTGAGTCTGTCACCGAACAGGGCCCTACCAGCTAACAGCTACACCACTGAGTCTGTCACCGAACAGGGCCCTACCAGCTAACAGCTACACCACTGAGTCTGTCACCGAACAGGGCCCTACCAGCTAACAGCTACACCACTGAGTCTGTCACCGAACAGGGCCCTACCAGCTAACAGCTACACCACTGAGTCTGTCACTAAACAGGGCCCCACCAGCTAACAGCTACTCAGGCCCCACCAGCTAACAGCTACACCACTGAGTCTGTCACCGAACAGGGCCCTACCAGCTAACAGCTACACCACTGAGTCTGTCACCGAACAGGGCCCTACCAGCTAACAGCTACACCACTGAGTCTGTCACTGAACAGGGCCCCACCAGCTAACAGCTACACCACCGAGTCTGTCACTAAACAGGGCCCCACCAGCTAACAGCTACACCACTGAGTCTGTCACCGAACAGGGCCCCACCAGCTAACAGCTACACCACTGAGTCTGTCACTAAACAGGGCTCCACCAGCTAACAGCTACACCACTGAGTCTGTCACCGAACAGGGCCCCACCAGCTAACAGCTACACCACTGAGTCTGTCACTAAACAGGGCTCCACCAGCTAACAGCTACACCACTGAGTCTGTCACTAAACAGGGCTCCACCAGCTAACAGCTACACCACTGAGTCTGTCACCGAACAGGGCCCCACCAGCTAACAGCTACACCACTGAGTCTGTCACTAAACAGGGCTCCACCAGCTAACAGCTACACCACTGAGTCTGTCACCGAACAGGGCCCTACCAGCTAACAGCTACACCACAGAGTCTGTCACCGAACAGGGCCCCACCAGCTAACAGCTACACCACTGAGTTTGTCACCGAACAGGGCCCTACCAGCTAACAGCTACACCACTGAGTCTGTCACCGAACAGGGCCCCACCAGCTAACAGCTACACCACTGAGTCTGTCACCGAACAGGGCCCCACCAGCTAACAGCTACACCACTGAGTCTGTCACTAAACAGGGCTCCACCAGCTAACAGCTACACCACTGAGTCTGTCACTGAACAAGGCCCTACCAGCTAACAGCTACACCACTGAGTCTGTCACTGAACAAGGCCCTACCAGCTAACAGCTACACCACTGAGTCTGTCACTAAACAGGGCCCTACCAGCTAACAGCTACACCACTGAGTCTGTCACCGAACAGGGCCCCACCAGCTAACAGCTACACCACTGAGTCTGTCACTAAACAGGGCTCCACCAGCTAACAGCTACACCACTGAGTCTGTCACCGAACAGGGCCCTACCAGCTAACAGATGTAGCACTAAACCAGGTCAAGTCCTCGGTGTGTAGGGCCCTACCAGCTAACAGATGTAGCACTAAACCAGGTCAAGTCCTCAGTGTGGACTGTGAAGTACACATAAGGCCAGTCCTAAATGGCACCCTATCCCCTATATAGTGCACTTCTTTGTGGCGCATGTAGTCAGCCTACACCTGACAGATCTGACAAGGTATAGCTGTGATGTCATCGCTCCTTCCCATAACAGCTGTGATGTCATCCTTCCTGAGTCAGTGTCTTGTGACAACCAGGAAGTGATCCGGAGCCTCGGAGAAGAGGCTGGTTGTCCAGTAACAACAACAAAATAACTACACCCAACACTAAACAACCATAAACCCTAGCTAACACACACCTCCTATACCCCTCAGACCTTGTACAAACACGGATCTCAACCCAACGCACACCTCAGACCTCTTACAAACACGGATCTCAACCCAACGCACACCTCAGACCTCTTACAAACCCAGACCCCACAGCAAAGACAGGAGGAAGGTTCCATTACTGTACACAGACACCATGTAGTCCAGTCTAACAACCCTCTCATCCAGACTGCCGGTACAGTACATACACCAGCTAGCCTAGTGGTCAACAAACCCATTGACCAGACCACAGGTACATGTAGGAGACAAAGCTTGGGTGGTACAGATCTGAAACAACACTAACCTCACAGACACCACCCCTGAGGACATAGACACAGACAGATCATCCAATCATATGGTGTATACACTGCTCCACCCACTCCTATCCATAAGCAGCACTCTACCAGACACTCACCCACTCCTATCCATAGGCAGCCCTCTACCAGACACTCAGCCACTCCTATCCATAGGCAGCCCTCTACCAGACACTCACCCACTCCTATCCATAGACAGCCCTCTACCAGACACTCACCCACTCCTATCCATAGACAGCCCTCTACCAGACACTCACCCACTCCTATCCATAGGCAGCCTACAGCACCTCTACCAGCACCTCACCCCCACTCCTATCCATAGGCAGCCCTTACCAGACCTCACCCACTCCTATCCATAGACAGCCCTCTACCAGACACTCACCCACTCCTATCCATAGGCAGCCCTCTACCAGACACTCACCCACTCCTATCCATAGGCAGCCCTCTACCAGACACTCACCCACTCCTATCCATAGGCAGCCCTCTACCAGACACTCACCCACTCCTATCCATAGGCAGCCCTCTATCCATAGGCAGCCCTCTACCAGACACTCACCCGGGTGTATAGGTTCCTCCTAGTAGTCTGAGACGACATGCTGATTCCCCGGTCTTCGCCAGGCTCCACGCTGGCCTGTCTGCTCTAATAACAATGAGGAGGAGGAGGAGGTGACGTCGTCGGTGGGGTACGACCAGGGTGGGGTGGTGGGGGGTTCAGTGATGCTTCTGGAGCGTGTCTCTCGATAATCCTCACGATCACCCCCCTCTTCTATAGCCCTAGGACTAGTATTAATACTCCCTCCAGTCCTGTGCTTCCCAGGAACAACTTTATTGTGTTGGTCCTGCTGGTTTCTTCCCTGTCTGGTCGGAGAGAGAGAGATATCCTGGCTGGCTGTCCGGGCTCACAGACGGCACTCTCTGCTCTGACAGGAAACAGCCTCAGCCTCCGACTGCAGAATTCAGATCAGACGCCAGGTCAGGAGGAGAGGAGGATGAATGGAGGGAAGGAGTGAAGGAAAACAGAGCAGAGAAAGAAACTGCAGGCAGGGTTGGTCTGCTGTCTGTGCTGTGAGTGCATCAGAGGAGAGGAGAGGAGATGAGAGGAGAGAAGAGCAGAGCAGAGGCAGCACTGCGCTAGAGTCTGCTCTGGCTTGTGCTCTGCAGGAGGCAGGCAGGGAGGGCTGACTGGTAGGCCCAGGGGCTGCTGGGTCCTAAAGGCAGTACCATCATCCTATGACACAAACAAAGCCATCATCCTATGACACAAACAAAGCCATCATCCTATGACACAAACAAAGCCATCATCCTATGACACAAACAAAGCCATCATCCTATGACACAAACAAAGCCATCATCCTATGACACAAACAAAGCCATCATCCTATGACACAAACAAAGCCATCATCCTATGACACAAACAAAGCCATCATCCTATGACACAAACAAAGCCTATTCAAACCTGATCCATCGGACATATAGCAGAGGCAAACACTCCAACAAACACTGAGCTGCATTCCACAGTGCCGGGGTTGGTCAAGGACGAGCAAGAGGAACATTGGTATGGTATGACAAGTACAACTGTTTCATTTGAACAGACATTAGTAGTACAGTGAAGTCTACCGAGCCCCGCTCAGAGCCACCTACAGCTCATACTAGCAGAACTCCTATACCAGTAAACACACAGCAGATAATGATACTCGGCCAGGACAAACAAAGGCGGTTTCATCATAGAGGGCTTCAATCAATTAATCATAGCAGCATCTCACTATCAAGCTGATGAATAAACCACATTCATTAACTCTTAAAGAGACCGCAGCTCTGCGCCCCCCCGTATTCACCGTGTCTCAGAGTAGGGGCGCTGATCCAGGATCAGTTTGGCCTTTTAGGTCACAATGGACAGATCAGCGCTCTTCCTCTGAGACACTTTGTAGAGACAGCTGTGGTTAACTAGGTACCCAATATCACAGGAGGAACTGGCATGATCTGGGTGCAGACAGAACTGATCTGGGTGCAGACAGAACTGATCTGGGTGCAGACAGAACTGATCTGGGTGCAGACAGAACTGATCTGGCTGCAGACAGAACTGATCTGGGTGCAGACAGAACTGATCTGGGTGCAGACAGAACTGATCTGGCTGCAGACAGATCATACCATCGCAAAAACAACAATATGTACTCCTTTGGGTCCCCAGGACCAGGATTAAAAGGTGGAATAAGTCATACTGTTTTCTGTAAATAGACCTATTGTCTTATCAGGTGATAATAAATTAAACCTATAATCCATGGGAAAGTTTGGATACATTGCCCTATAGTCTGAAATTCAATATCTTCTAATCTGTTCGGACCAAATATTTCTGTGTACATGTCATTTCCAATTATCCTTCTTCAGTGGTGGTTATTTTGCGTTTGTGTTTCACATGACTATAACTCAGAACACTGTTCTGATCACCAGCCATTCGGCACTGAGGAATAGAGGTTCACACAACAGGGGAGAAAATGAATTTCTGTCCTGTCCTGAAATGTTTTCTCAGTACTGTCCTGATTCCACAACAGTTCTATAACCAAGACAATTTTTCCCGTCCTGTCCCGATAAAAATCACTCCCGTCCTGTCCCATGCTAATTTTTACGCGCAGAAATCAGAATTAATTTACTCCGTTATTTATTTTGATCCCCATTAGCGGCAGCTACTTTTCCTAGGTTCCACAAGACATGACAAGTGACAAAAACACTGAGACGCTGACAGACAAAGACAGCCACAGAAATGTTAAATGCAAACAATACAACAAAAAAAACAGTGTGCGTTAAGAGTGTTTGTGTGAGTCTTGTGGGGTGTGTCTGGGTGTCTGACCTGAATCTTATTGGATTATCCAGGCAATCTGGAATTTTCACCACAGTAATATTTCTCATGAAAACTGTAAGAGAAGGAGTTCATCTCTCGTCAACGACTGGCCTGCATGTTGTTGCTGTTAGTTCTGTATGCGCAGTTCAGGGCAAGGCGTGACGCTCTGTTTTGAGGCAGCTGCAGCTTTTGCGAGGCCTTTCTTTGCTGCACCTGACCATACTACATTTACATTTTAGTCATTTAGCAGACGCTCTTATCCAGAGCGACTTACAGTTAGTGAGTGTATACATTATTATTATTTATTTTATTTGTTTCATACTGGCCCCCCTCGTGGGAATCGAACCCACAACCCTGGCGTTGCAAACGCCATGCTCTACCAACTGAGCTACATCCCTGCCGGCCATTCCCTCCCCTACCCTGGACGACGCTGGGCCAATTGTGCGCCGCCCCATGGGTCTTACCGGACAGTCATCAAAGATGGGACAAGACCAGAGCCGGAACAACTAGTACAGTTGATTTGTGTCCAACGCACAGCATCCATCTTCACAACAGCTTTGTCATTGATTTGATAATGGACCATTATCTGCATTTCTAAAGAAACATTTCTGAAGAAACCAAGCGAAGAATGCTCTAAAGATGGCATTGTAGCCACACATACGTCGAAAGACGGTTGTCGATCAGAAACACTCACAACCTTTATCTCCCAAATGGTGTCGCTGGTGTATTTGGTTAGAATTGTGGAATATATTGCACAATTGGCTATATGGTTTTTACCAGGTGCAAGTCCATCCATTTATCCCAATGCGCGACACAACACACAACTTTTATGTGCTCGGGAAACGTACACAGAACCTACCATTTTAGATAAGAATATATCCGCCTACCTTTCAGTCATGTCAACCATCAAATCGAATCAAATAATTCCATGTGTCTTTATAAGCTTTTACACACGTAGATATGATAGAATGATAGGGGGTAGAATGGTATGGGGTAGTATGGTATGGGGTAGAATGATAGGGGGTAGAATGGTATGGGGTAGAATGGTTAGAATGGTAGGGGTAGAATGGTAGAATGGTATGGGGTAGAATGGTATGGGGTAGAATGATAGGGGGTAGAATGGTATGGGGTAGAATGGTAGGGGGTAGAATGGTATGGGGTAGAATGGTATGGGGTAGAATGGTATGGGGTAGAATGATATGGGGTAGAATGGTATGGGGTAGTATGGTAGTGTATGGGGTAGACTGATCGGGGGAGAATGGTATGGGGTTGGGTCTGGTAGAATGATAGGGGGTAGAATGGTCTGGGGTAGAAATGGTATGGGGGAGATGCTAGGTGAGAATGGTATGGGTAGCACATGGTATGGGGTAGAATGGTATGGGGTTAGAATGATACCGGGTAGAATGGTATGGGGTGTAGAATGGTTGGGGTAGAATGTAGGGGGTCGCATGGTATGGGGTAGAACTGCTAGGGGGTCAGAATGGTTGGGGTCAGACTGTAGGGGGTAGAATGGTATGGGGTAGAATGATACGGGGTAGAATGGTATGGGGTAGAATGGTATGGGGTAGAATGGTATGGGGTAGAATGATAGGGGGTAGAATGGTATGGGGTAGAATGCATCGGGGATGAGAATGGTTGGGGTAGTAGCATGTGGGTGGTAGAAGGTTGGGGTGATGGTATGGGGTGAATGGTTGGGGTAGATGATCCGGGGTAGACCTGGTATGGGGTAGAATGATGGGGGTTCGATGGTATGGGGTTGACTGACTAGGGGGTCAGATGGTATGGGGTAGAATGTACGGGGTAGAATGGTACTGGGGTCAGCCAATGACTACGGGGGTAGAATGGTACTGGGGTAGATGACTAGGGGTAGTAATGGTATGGGGGTAGCCATGATAGGGGTGGTTAGAATGATATGGGACAGAATCAAGCAACACTGCAGCTGTTGATTATTGCCAGTTATCATCATTCTTCAGGTATGCTATATACACTACATGACCAGCAGTATGTGGACACCTGCTCATGCTATATACACTACATGACCAGCAGTATGTGGACACCTGTTCATCGAACATCTCATTCCAAAATCATGGGCATTAATATGGAGTTGGTCCCCCCTTTGCTGCTATAACAGCCTCCACTCTTCTGGGAAGGCTTTCTAATAGATGATGGAACATTGCTACGGGGGACTTGCTTCCATTCAGCCACAAGAGCATTAGTGAGGTCGGGCACTGATGTTGGGCGATTAGGCCTGGCTCGCAGTCGGCGTTCCTATTCATCCCAAAGGTGTTCGATGGGGTTGAGGTCAGGGCTCTGTGCAGGCCAGTCAAGTTCTTCCAAACCGATCTCGACAAACCATTTCTGTGATGACCTCGCTTAGTGCATGGGGGCATTGTCATGCTGAAACAGGGAAGGGCCTTCCCCAAACTGTTGCCAAAAAGTTGGAAGCACAGAATCATCTAGAATGTCATTGTATGCTGTAGCGTTAAGATTTTCCTTCACTGGAACTAAGTGGCCTAGCCCGAACCATGAAAAACAGCCCCAGACCATTATTCTGCCTCCACCAAACTTTTTAGTTGGCACTATGCATTCGGGCAGGTAGCGTTCTCCTGGCATCCACCAAACCCAGATTCGTCCGTCCAACTGCCAGATGGTGAAGCGTGATTCATCACTCCAGAGAACGCCTTTCCACTGCTCCAGAGTCCAATGGAGGTGAGCTTTACACCACTCCAGCCAACGCTTGGCATTGCGCATGGTGATCTTAGGCTTGTGTGCGGCTGCTCGGCCACGGAAACCCATTTCATGAAGCTCCCGACGAACAGTTCTTGTGCTGACGTTGCTTCCAGAGGCAGTTTGGAACTCGGTAGTGAGTGTTGCAACCGAGGACAGACGATTTTTACGCGCTACAGCACTCGGCGGTCCCGTTCTGTGAGCTTGTGTGGTCTACCACTTCGCGGCTGAGCCGTTGTTGCTCCTAGATGTTTCCACTTCACAATAACAGCCCTTACAGTTGACCAGGGCAGCTCTAGCAGAGCAGAAGTTTGACGCACTGACTTTTTGGAAAGGTGGCATCCTATGATGGTGCCACGTTGAAAGTCACTGAGCTCTTTAGTAAGGCCATTCTACTGCCAATGTTTGTCTATGGAGATTGCATGGCGGTGTGCTCAATTTTATACACCTGTCAGCAGAGGTGTGGCTGCAATAGCTGAATCCACTAATTTTGAAGGTGTGTCCACATACTTGTGTGTATATATAGTGTATAATGAATACACAACTTTCAAGGAGTAAGGTATTTGATGCAAACATATCATCTCTGTCTGTCCCCACCTTCCTGTGAGTCTCCATAGCAACGGCCCCGTTTTGGGCTGTTCGCGAGACGTTTCACGCTCCCCAAATTAAAACAGTCGGCACGTCACCCACAAGTACGAAGATCCTTGACTCGTACACTGAGCGAAAAATGTGTATCACGTGCTATAATAGTCACATCCCAATGACTTACTACACCTTTAAGAAACACTCCTCTAAAGGAAAGGCCTAAACCCCAGCCTGGGCTGCTGTCTGTAAACCACGAGGCTATCCATTCGGTTCACTTCAGTTCCATAGAATGACATAGAACTTAACTTCCCAAAATAGCTGCCATTATCAGCACATTCTTGAATATAGTGCACTACTTTGGACCCGTGGGGAATATGGTTGCTGTTTGGGACGCATCCACTGTTTAACAGACCCACTGTATGCCTGCTAGATGGATAGCATGCTGACACAGCTAGGATTAGTGGTCTTTATCAGCTGACTGCGTGGCGCAGGCTTTTTCTTTTTATTCTCTCTCTATTCATGGGTTTTGTAAAGGAAGCAAAAGCTGAAGCGAGGACCTCCGTCTGTGTAAACGGTGAAGCTCTTCGGTGCAGCTCTTCGGTGCAGCTCTTTGCTTTGGTGCAGCTCTCTGGGATACATATAAAAGAGCTAGTGTTACTGCAGGTTTGAGAGCAGTAGAACTAGGACAGAGAGGTAGAGGAATATTTAGGAACAGAGGGTGCATCCCGAATGGCATCCCATGAGCCCTGGTCAAAAGAAGTGCCCTATATGGGGCGTATGTTGCTATTTGGGACACAGTGAGAATGAATCAGTGTTTTCTGCACCTCTAGTCTAATGAGAAGGAGGAGAGGGCGGGAGGGGGCTGGGGGGGGGGGGGGGGGGGGGGGGGGGGGGTACTCTCTTCTCCTCTCAAAAAAACAACGCAGACAGACAAATGGTCAGACCAGTAGCAAGCTGCCACCTCACACAGCCTGACAGGACAATACAAAGCAAACTTTATTGACCATGTAACAGGGGAACAGAAATGTGTCCAGGACAGTAGGACCAAGGTAGGGGGCAGCAAACACACCAGATGTAACAGTCATCGTCCAACACCTACACTTTACACTGCTTCGATCAGAGAGAACTAGAGCAGGAGAAGCTTGCAGGAGAAGCTTGAAGGAGAAGCTTGCAGGAGAAGCTTGCAGGAGAAGCTTGCAGGAGAAGCTTGCAGGAGCAGGCTGGAGAGACGAAGGCTGAAGGAGGGAGTGGCTTTGCACCCATGTCTGGATTTAACCTAGCCTCCCTACTGTCACTTTATTTTACTTCTGCTCTTTTTTTCTCAACACTTTTTTTTTTTTGTTGTTGTTTTATTCTTACTTTTTTTGTTTAAAATAAATGCACTGTTGGTTAAGGGCTGTAAGTAAGCATTTCACTGTAATGTCTGCACCTGTTGTATTCGGCGCATGTGACCAATACAATTTGATTTGATTTGATTTGATGTAGGATCTCTACATCTGCCCTTACTAAAAAAGATTGCAGTACAGAGTGCAGTACAGAGTGCAGTACAGAGTGCAGTACAACTGCAGTACGCTGTAAATACTGAGTCCAGAATAACACCGCTTTTTTTTTTTACTGCAGTAATTTAGCAGTGTAACTGCAGTTGAATTGCAGTACACTGCCGTTATTCTGCAAATACTGCAGCCAAAATATCACAGTCGACTGCAGTTACTGCCCGTTTACTGCAGTTTTGAAAACTGCAATATTTTTTAAAGGGTGTAACCTCCTATGTCTAGGTGATGTAGGATCTCTCTACATGTCTAGGTGATGTAGGATCTCTCTACATGTCTAGGTGATGTAGGATCTCTCTACATGTCTAGGTGATGTAGGATCTCTCTACATGTCTAGGTGATGTAGGATCTCTCTACATGTCTAGGTGATGTAGGATCTCTCTACATGTCTAGGTGATGTAGGATCTCTCTACATGTCTAGGTGATGTAGGATCTCTACATGTCTAGGTGATGTAGGATCTCTCTACATGTCTAGGTGATGTAGGATCTCTCTACACGTCTAGGTGATGTAGGATCTCTCTACATGTCTAGGTGATGTAGGATCTCTCTACACGTCTAGGTGATGTAGGATCTGTCTACATTTCTAGTTGATGTAGGATCTCTCTATGTCTAGGTGATGTAGGATCTCTCTATGTCTAGTTGATGTAGGATCTCTCTATGTCTAGTTGATGTAGGATCTCTCTATGTCTAGGTGATGTAGGATCTCTCTACATGTCTAGTTGATGTAGGTTCTCTCTATGTCTAGTTGATGTAGGATCTCTCTATGTCTAGGTGATGTAGGATCTCTCTATGTCTAGGTGATGTAGGATCTCTCTATGTCTAGTTGATGTAGGATCTCTCTACATGTCTAGTTGATGTAGGATCTCTCTATGTCTAGGTGATGTAGGATCTCTCTATGTCTAGTTGATGTAGGATCTCTCTATGTCTAGTTGATGTAGGATCTCTCTACATGTCTAGGTGATGTAGGATCTCTCTATGTCTAGGTGATGTAGGATCTCTCTATGTCTAGTTGATGTAGGATCTCTCTATATGTCTAGGTGATGTAGGATCTCTCTATGTAGGATCTCTCTACATGTCTAGTTGATGTAGGATCTGTACCTTTAACCTTGTCCCCGGGCTCAGCTACTGCATAGAGAGGTGTATTGGGACGTGATCACTGCTTCTGTGACAGCAGGGGACAGACACCAGTATGTATGTGTAATATATATATTTATCCATTTTTTGGCACTGTGTGTGTATGAGCTTATGGTGCCGTAGCAGCAACAGGCTGTTTTAATGTGGTTGCTGCTTCTATGGTGGCACTATGTGGCAGTTCAGCCTGTTTTAATGTGCTTGCTGCTTCTATGGTGGCACTATGTGGCAGTTCAGCCTGTTTTAATGTGCTTGCTGCTTCTATGGTGGCACTATGTGGCAGTTCAGCCTGTTTTAATGTGGTTGCTGCTTCTATGGTGGCACTATGTGGCAGTTCAGCCTGTTTTAATGTGCTTGCTGCTTCTATGGTGGCACTATGTGGCAGTTCAGCCTGTTTTAATGTGCTTGATGCTTCTATGGTGGCACTATGTGGCAGTTCAGCCTGTTTTAATGTGGTTGCTGCTTCTATGGTGGCACTATGTGGCAGTTCAGCCTGTTTTAATGTGCTTGCTGCTTCTATGGTGGCACTATGTGGCAGTTCAGCCTGTTTTAATGTGGTTGCTGCTTCTATGGTGGCACTATGTGGCAGTTCAGCCTGTTTTAATGTGCTTGCTGCTTCTATGGTGGCACTATGTGGCAGTTCAGCCTGTTTTAATGTGCTTGCTGCTTCTATGGTGGCACTATGTGGCAGTTCAGCCTGTTTTAATGTGGTTGCTGCTTCTATGGTGGCACTATGTGGCAGTTCAGCCTGTTTTAATGTGCTTGCTGCTTCTATGGTGGCACTATGTGGCAGTTCAGCCTGTTTTAATGTGGTTACTGCTTCTATGGTGGCACTATGTGGCAGTTCAGCCTGTTTTAATGTGCTTGCTGCTTCTATGGTGGCACTATGTGGCAGTTCAGACAAGTTTGCCAAGTGAGTCAACAGCAAGACAGAAGCACCAACATTAATACATTTTATATTATCTTTATTTTGAAGGCAAGTGAGAGGCAAAGCACACTATTAAAAATAGGAATGTTTCCGTGGCATGTGCATACAGTGCATTCGGAAAGTATTCAGACCCCTTGACTTTTTCCACATTTTGTTACGATACAGCCTTATTCTAAAATTTATTAAATAAATTCCTCATCAATCTACACACAATACCCCATAATGGACAAATCGAAAACAGGTTTTTAGAAATTTTTTGCAAATGTATTAAAAATAAACAACTGAAATACCTTATTTACATAAGTATTCAGACCCTTTGCTATGAGACTTGAAATTGAGCTCAGGTGCATCCTGTTTCCATTGATCATTCTTGAGATGTTTCTACACCTTGACTGGAGTCCACCTGTGGTAAATTCAACTGATTGGACATGATTTGGAAAGGCACACACCTGTCTATATAAAGTCCCACAGTTGACAGTGCATGTCAGAGCAAAAACCGAGCCATGAGGTCGAAGGAATTGTCCATAGAGGTTCGAGACAGAATTGTGTCGAGGCACAGATCTGGGGAAGGGCACCAAAAAATGTCTGCAGCATTGAACGTCCCCAAGAACACAGTGGCCTCCATCATTCTTAAATGGAAACAGTTTGGAACCACCAAGACTCTTCCTAGAGCTTTGCCAGGCCAAACTGAGCAATCGGGGGAGAAGGGCCTTGGTCAGGGAGGTGACCAAGAACCTGATGGTAACTCTGACAGAGCTCCAGAGTTCCTCTGTGGAGATGGGAGAACCTTCCAGAAGGACAACCATCTCTGCAGCACTCCACCAACCAGGCCTTTATGGTAGAGTGGCCAGAAGGAAGCCACTCCTCAGTAAAAGGCACATGACAGCCCGCTTGGAGTTTGTCAAAAGGCACCTAAAGACTCTCATAACATTGAACTCTTTGGCCTGAATGCCAAGCGTCACGTCTAGAGGAATCTTGGTGGTGGCAGCATCATGCTGTGGGGATGTTTATCAGCGGCAGGGACTGGGAGACTAGTCAGGATCGAGGGAAAGATGAACGGAGCAAAGTACAGAGAGATCCTTGATGAAAACCTGCTCCAGAGCGCTCAGGACCTCAGACTGGGGCGAAGGTTCACCTTCCAACAGGACAACGACCCTAAGCACACAGCAAAGACAATGCAGGAGTGGCTTCGGGACAAGTCTCTGAATGTCCTTGAGTGGCCCAGCCAGAGCCCGGACTTGAACCAGATCGAACATCTCTGGAGAGACCTGAAAATAGCTGTGCAGCGATGCTCCCCATCCAACCTGACAGAGCTTGAGAGGATCTGCAGAGAAGAATGGGAGAAACTCCCCAAATACAGGTGTGCCAAGCTTGTAGCGTCATACCCAAGAAGACTGGAGGCTGTAATCGCTGCCAAAGGTGCTTCAACAATGTACTGAGTAAAGGATCTGAATACTTTCAGGATTTATTTATTTATAAAAACCTATTTTTGCTTTCCGGGTTTTTTATTTATTTAAATGTGCTAAAATTTCGAAAAACCTGTTTTTGTTTTGTCAATATGGGGTATTATTATTATTTATTTATTTTAAATCAATTTTAGAATAAGGCTGTAACGTAACAAAATGAGCTACATGGTCCCCTGTAGCTCAGTTGGTAGAGCATGGCGCTTGCAACGCCAGGGTTGTGGGTTCGTTTCCCACGGGGGGCCAGTATGAAAATGTATGCACTCACTAACTGTAAGTCGCTCTGGATAAGAGCGTCTGCTAAATGACTAAAATGTAAAAGGTTCTGAATACTTTCCGAATGCACTACACACACACACACAGACCATGATTGGGGGCAAATACTTTTTCGTAGACCTGTAGACCTTAACTACCTGGTACCCCTGGACCTGGTACCCCTGGACCTTAACTACCTGGTACCCCTGGACATTAACTACCTGGTACCCCTGGACATTAACTACCTGGTACCCCTGGACATTAACTACCTGGTACCCCTGGACATTAACTACCTGGTACCCCTGGACATTAACTACCTGGTACCCCTGGACCTTAACTACCTGGTACCCCTAGACATTGACTTGGTACCGGTACTCCTTGTATATAACTACCTGGTACCCCTGGACCTTAACTACCTGGTACCGGTTCTCCTTGTATATAACTACCTGGTACCCCTGGACCTTAACTACCTGGTACCCCTGGACCTTAACTACCTGGTACCCCTGGACATTAACTACCTGGTACCCCTGGACATTGACTTGGTACCGGTACTCCATGTATATAACTACCTGGTACCCCTGGACCTTAACTACCTGGTACCCCTGGACATTAACTACCTGGTACCCCTGGACCTTAACTACCTGGTACCCCTGGACATTAACTACCTGGTACCCCTGGACATTAACTACCTGGTACCCCTGGACATTAACTACCTGGTACCCCTGGACCTGGTACCCCTGGACCTTAACTACCTGGTACCCCTGGACATTAACTACCTGGTACCCCTGGACCTTAACTACCTGGTACCCCTAGACATTGACTTGGTACCGGTACTCCTTGTATATAACTACCTGGTACCCCTGGACCTTAACTACCTGGTACCGGTTCTCCTTGTATATAACTACCTGGTACCCCTGGACCTTAACTACCTGGTACCCCTGGACCTTAACTACCTGGTACCCCTGGACATTAACTACCTGGTACCCCTGGACATTGACTTGGTACCGGTACTCCATGTATATAACTACCTGGTACCCCTGGACATTAACTACCTGGTACCCCTGGACCTTAACTACCTGGTACCGGTACTCCTTGTATATAACTACCCGGTACCCCTGGACATTGACTTGGTACCGGTACTCCATGTATATAACTACCTGGTACCCCTGGACATTAACTACCTGGTACCCCTGGACCTTAACTACCTGGTACCGGTTCTCCTTGTATATAACTACCTGGTACCCCTGGACATTAACTTGGTACCGGTACTCCATGTATATAACTACCTGGTACCCCTGGACCTTAACTACCTGGTACCGGTACTCCTTGTATATAACTACCTGGTACCCCTGGACATTAACTTGGTACCGGTACTCCATGTATATAACTACCTGGTACCCCTGGACCTTAACTACCTGGTACAGGTACTCCTTGTATATAACTACCTGGTACCCCTGGACATTAACTTGGTACCGGTACTCCATGTATATAACTACCTGGTACCCCTGGACCTTAACTACCTGGTACCGGTACTCCTTGTATATAACTACCTGGTACCCCTGGACATTAACTTGGTACCGGTACTCCATGTATATAACTACCTGGTACCCCTGGACATTGACTTGGTACCGGTACTCCTTGTATATAACTACCTGGTACCCCTGGACATTAACTTGGTACCGGTACTCCATGTATATAACTACCTGGTACCCCTGGACATTGACTTGGTACCGGTACTCCATGTATATAACTACCTGGTACCCCTGGACCTTAACTACCTGGTACCCCTGGACCTTAACTACCTGGTACCCCTGGACATTAACTTGGTACCGGTACTCCTTGTATATAGCCTCATTATTTTATTTAGTTACAATATCTTATCTTTTTTTTTTTTTTGCAAATTCTTCATACTTTTTAACTCTGCATTGTAAAGGGCTCGTAAGTCAGCATTTTACTGTAAAGTCTACAATATCATAATAATAATAATATGCCATTTAGCAGACTCTTTTATCCAAAGCGACTTACAGTCATGTGTGCATAATTTTTTTTAACGTATGGGTGGTCCCGGGGATCGAACCCACTACCCTGGCGTTACAAGCGCCATGCTCTACCAGCTGAGCTACAGAGGACCACTATATCCATATATATCACTACCAGACCAAGCGCCGTGCTCTACCAGCTGAGCTACAGAGGACCACATGTGTCTACACCTGTTTTGTATTCGGCGCATGTGACAAATAACATTTGATTTGATTTGAACGTATACAGAACCACATCCTCTATTCCGTGAGATGCTACAACTCCGACACAGTGCTGACCTCTGAACTCCCTCTGTACTGAGATCTTCTTCAGCTCCCAGGAGCCTGGGTGGGAGACGTCCCCCCCCCCCCCCAGCTGAAACCAGCTGTACAGCCTATTGCCTGTTTGTGTTTCTGAGTCTTTTATTAAAGAATGTGAAACAATGTTGTGTCTGTTTGCTGCTCTTCATTAAATCATGCAGAGCTGTTCTTTATATGGCCTAAAATACATGTGTTCATATGGGCACAATATTATCTATAGGCTATAGCATATCGAATTTGTATCAGTTATGAAAATAAACAGATCATGCGGAGAACAAAATGTATCTGGTAAAATGCTGTCTCCTGAGGTCTCCTGAGTGGCGCAGTGGTCTAAGGCACTGCATCGCAGTGCTAACTGTGCCACTAGAGATCCTGGTTCGAATCCAGGCTCTGTCGTAGCCGGCCGCGACCGGGAGACTCATGGGCGGCGCACAATTGGCCCAGCGTCGTCCAGGGTAGGGGAGGGAATGGCCGGCAGGGATGTAGCTCAGTTGATAGAGCATGGCGTTTGCAACGCCAGGGTTGTGGGTTCGATTCCCACGGGGGGCCAGTATGAAAAAATATATATATATATATGTATTCACTAACTGTAAGTCGCTCTGGATAAGAGCGTCTGCTAAATGACGTAAATGTAAATGTAATGTAAAAGGCCGACATTTGGACTTATCAATTTTAAAAACTGTCACATGACAATAGCACTGATTTTAGAGACACCAAGTAGCAATAGCTTCTATGATTAATGCATCCATCTGTTACTGGGCTCTCACCTTCATTATTATTCACATCATACAGCGCCTTTGGAAAGTATTCAGACCCCTTGACTTTTTCCACATTTTGTTACGTTACAGCCTTATTCTAAAATTGATTACATTGTTTTTTCCCCTCATCAATCAACACACAATACCCCATAATGACAAAGCAAAAACAGGTTTTTAGAAATTTTAGCAGAAAAACTGAAATATCACATTTACATAAGTATTCAGACCCTTTACTCAGTACTTTGTTGAAGCACCTTTGGCAGCGATTACAGCCTCGAGTCTTCTTGGGTATGTCGCTACAAGCTTGGCACACCTGTATTTGGGGAGTTTCTCCCATTCTTATCTGCAGATCCTCTCAAGCTCTGTCAGGTTGGATGGGGATCCTGCACAGCTATTTTCAGGTCTCTCCGGAGATGTTCGATCTGGTTAAAGTCCGGGCTCTGGCTGGGCAAACTCAAGGACATTCAGAGACTTGTCCCGAAGCCACTCCTGCGTTGTCTTGGCTGTGTGCTTAGGGTCGTTGTCCTGTTGGAAGGTGAACCTTCACCCCAGTCTGAGGTCCTGAGCGCTCTGGAGCAGGTTTTCATCAAGGATCTCTCTTTACTTTGCTCCGTTCATCTTTCCCTCGATCCTGACTAGTCTCCCAGTCACTGCCGCTGAAAAACATCCCCACAGCATGATGCTGCCACCACCATGCTTCACCATAGGGATGGTGCCAGGTTTCCACCAGACGTGAAGCTTGGCATTTAGGCCAAAGAGTTCAATCTTGGTTTCATCAGACCAGAGAATCTTGTTTCTCATGGTCAGAGTCCTTTAGGTGCCTTTTGGCAAACTCCAAGCAGGCTGTCATGTGCCTTTTACTGAGGAGTGGCTTCTTTCTGGCCACTCTACCATAAAGGCCTGATTGGTGGAGTGCTGCAGAAATGGTTGTCCTTCTGGAAGGTTCTCCCATCTCCACAGAGGAACTCTGGAGCTCTGTCAGAGTGACCATCGGGTTCTTGGTCACCTCCCTGACCAAGGCCCTTCTCCCCCGATTGCTCAGTTTGGGTGGCCAGCTCTAGGAAGAGTCTTGGTGGTTCCAAACATCTTCCATTTAAGAATGATGGAGGCCACTGTGTTCTTGGGGACCTTCAATGCTTTTCAGAAATGTTTTGGTACCCTTCCCCAGATCTGTGCCTCGACACAATCCTGTCTCTGAGCATTACGGACAATTCCTTCGACCTCATGGCTTGGTTTTTGCTCTGACATGCACTGTCAACTGTGGGACCTTATATAGACAGGTGTGTGCCTTTCCATATCATGTCCAATCAATTGAATTTACTACAGGTGGACTCCAATCAAGTTGTCGAAACATATCAAGGATGATCAATGGAAACAGGATGCACCTGAGCTCAATTTTCGAGTTTCATAGCAAAGGGTCTGAATACTTATGTAAATAAGGTTTTTCAGTTTGTTTTGAATAGATTTGCAAAAATTTCTAAAACCCTGTTTTCACTTTGTCATTATGGGGTATTGTGTGTAGCTTGATGAGGAAAAAACTAAATGTAATCAATTTTAGAATAAGGCTGTAACGTAACAAAATGTGGAAAAAGTCAAGGGGTCTGAATACTTTCTGAAAGCACTGTATGTCAATTGGGAATGTGCCACCTGTCCCTCCTGCATACAGGAGCTGTTAATATCCAGGAGGTTAATATCCAGGAGGTCCTCCCTAAGGCCTAGCCGGATCCCCTGGTTGGACAGGTACCGTACCGCCCTTCGACCTGGCCGGCACAGAGCAGGGTGAGCTGTATCCAGGTCTGTCCGAGAGCCTGAACACACACACACACACACAGCGTCCAGTTGCTCAACGAACCCTGTGGAGTACACCTCCGTGACCACGCAGTAGTCTTCGTCCTGGTATCTACAGATCCGATAGCCGTCCATCTCATCTGATCCCCCTGTGAAGAGAAGACCGCTGACTAGAGCAACACACTGGGCTGGAGAGAAACGAATAACATATTTAAAGATAAGGAATGACATAGGCAGACAGCAGGGGTATTGGAATCTAAAGTACTGCTGGTTTTCTTGTAGAAAACAGAAGGAAGGGAAGCTCTCCTAGGGTACAAAATAGTAGATTTTTTGTAGATAGAAGGGTGCTCTTTGATAAAGGTACTCCCTGACGAAGGCTTATGCTGAAGCGCGTCCGACTTTTTAAATATTTGTTCCATTGAACCGTAACAATAAAGGCATTTTAAATATATAAAGATCCTCCTTGTTTTCCTGCTGCTGGTTTTCTGTTCTACCTGGTGTCCCAGGTCTAAACCAGTCCTGATTAGACAATGAAGATTAGCAGTGGAACTTGGTTCCAGATTTGAATTGACCTTGGCCTATAATACGGAGGGCAGAGAAAGCCATCCTCCTGCTTATCCAATAACAGCACGAGAAAGCAATGATTCAACCCTTTAATTTACACATTAAGCCAAAACAAAAGTCCAGTTTGCACAAAATTACACTAATTAATTTACTAAATGAAACAACTGTTAAAGTGTCCATTATATCAGTAATTTAGTGCCATTTGCACTCAGTGCTGCCTGGCACAGGTGTTGAGGAAGTTCATGACCATAAACAGAATTCATCAACTACAGATCAACCAATGGCGAAGGCAAATTCAACGAGAATCCAGTCATACAGGCTGGAATGGAACTGGACCCCTGTCCAGTACAGCAGATGGAATGAAACTGGACCCCTGTCCAGTCCAGCAGATGGAATGAAACTAGAACATTGGGAAAGTATTGACTCCTTGACTTTTTCCACATTGTTACGTTACAGCCTTATTCTAAAATGGATTAAATTGTTGTTGTTTTTTACCCTCATCAATCTACACACAATACCCCATAATGACAAAGCAAAAACAGGTTTTTAGATATTTTTTGCAAATGTATTACAAATAAAAAACTGAAATATCACATTTACATAAGTATTCAGACCCTTTACTCAATACTTTGTTGAAGCACCTTTGGCAGCGATTACAGCATCGATTCTACTTGGGAATGACGCTACAAGCTTGGCACACCTGTATTTGGGGAGTTTCTCCCATTCTTCTCTGCAGATCCTCTCAAGCTCTGTCAGGTTGGATGGGGATCCTGCACAGCTATTTTCAGGTCTCTCCGGAGATGTTCGATCTGGTTCAAGTCCGGGCTCTGGCTGGGCAAACTCAAGGACATTCAGAGACTTGTCCCGAAGCCACTCCTGCGTTGTCTTGGCTGTGTGCTTAGGGTCGTTGTCCTGTTGGAAGGTGAACCTTCACCCCAGTCTGAGGTCCTGAGCACTCTGGAGCAGGTTTTCATCAAGGATCTCTCTGTACTTTGCGCCGTTCATCTTTCCCTCGATCCTGACTAGTCTCCCAGTCCCTGCCGCTGAAAAACATCCCCACAGCATGATGCTGCAACCACCATGCTTCACCGTAGGGAAGGTGCCAGGTTTCCACCAGACGTGACGCTTGGCATTCAGGCCACAGAATGTGCCTTTTACTGAGGAGTGGCTTCCGTCTGGCCACTCTACCATAAAGGCCTGATTGGTGGAGTGCTGCAGAGATGGTTGTCCTTCTGGAAGGTTCTCCCATCTCCACAGAGGAACTCTGGAGCTTTGTCAGAGTTACCATCAGGTTCTTGGTCACCTCCCTGACCAAGGCCCTTCTCCCCCGATTGCTCAGTTTGGCCGGGCGGCCAGCTCTAGGAAGAGTCTTGGTGGTTCCAAACATCTTCCATTTAAGAATGGAGTTCTGAGTTCTTGGGGACCTTCAATGCTGCAGAAATGTTTTGGTACCATTCCCCAGATCTGTGTCTCGACACAATCCTGTCTCAGAGCTCTATGGACAACTCCTTCGACATCATGGCTTGGTTTTTGCTCTGACATGCACTGTCAACTGTGGGACCTTATATAGACAGGTGTGTGCCTTTCCAAATCATGTCCAATCAATTGAATTTACCACATGTGGACTCCAATCAAGTTTTAGAAACATCTCAAGGAAGATCAATGGAAACAGGATGCACCGGAGCTCAATTTTGAGTCTCATAGCAAAGGGTCTGAATACTTATGTAAATAAGGTATAAAACCCTGTTTTCGCTTTGTCATTATGGAGTGTTGTGTGTAGATTGATGAGGATTTAAGGCTTTGTCATTATGGAGTGTTGTGTGTAGATTGATGAGGATTTAAGGATATATTTAATCCATTTTAGAATAAGGCTGTAAAGTAACACAATGTGGAAAAGGGGAAGGCGTCTGAATATTTTCTGTTTGATGTGAATAATAATGAAGGTGAGAGCCCTGTATGTCCAGTGTGTCTGTCTGTGTCCTACTGTCCTTTCAGTCCTCCTCCTATCCCCCCCCCGCAGTAAGTCTAGTCCTCCTCCTATTCCCCCCCCGCAGTAAGTCTAGTCCTCCTCCTATTCCCCCCTGCAGTAAGTCTAGTCCTCTTCCAATTTCACCTGCAGTAAGTCTAGTCCTCCTCCTACTCCCCCCTGCAGTAAGTCTAGTCCTCCTTCTATTACCCCCTGCAGTAAGTCTAGTCCTCTTCCAATTTCACCTGCAGTAAGTCCTTCTCCTATTCCCCCCCTGCAGTAAGTCTAGTCCTCCTCCTATTCCCCCCCTGCAGTAAGTCCAGTCCTCCTCCTATTCCCCCCTGCAGTAAGTCTAGTCCTCCTCTTATTCCCCCCTGCAGTAAGTCTAGTCCTCCTCCTATTCCCCCCTGCAGTAAGTCTAGTCCTCCTCCTATTCCCCCCCTGCAGTAAGTCTAGTCCTCCTCCTATCCCCCCCTGCAGTAAGTCCAGTCCTCCTCCTATTCCCCCCTGCAGTAAGTCCAGTCCTCCTCCTATTCCCCCCCCTGCAGTAAGTCTAGTCCTCCTCCTATTCCCCCCCTGCAGTAAGTCTAGTCCTCTTCCAATTTCACCTGCAGTAAGTCTAGTCCTCCTCCTCCTATACCCCCCCCAGCAGTAAGTCTAGTCCTCCTCCTCCTATTCCCCCCCCTGCAGTAAGTCTAGTCCTCCTCCTATTCCCCCCTGCAGTAAGTCCAGTCCTCCTCCTATTCCCCCCCTGCAGTAAGTCTAGTCCTCCTCCTATTCCCCCTGCAGTAAGTCTAGTCCTCCTCCTATTCCCCCTGCAGTAAGTCTAGTCCTCCTCCTCCTATTCCCCCCCTGCAGTAAGTCTAGTCCTCCTCCTATTCCCCCCCCTGCAGTAAGTCTAGTCCTCCTCCTATTCCCCCCCTGCAGTAAGTCTAGTCCTCCTCCTATTCCCCCTGCAGTAAGTCTAGTCCTCCTCCTATTCCCCCCTGCAGTAAGTCTAGTCCTCCTCCTATTCCCCCTGCAGTAAGTCTAGTCCTCCTCCTATTCCCCCCTGCAGTAAGTCTAGTCCTCCTCCTATTCCCCCCCCTGCAGTAAGTCTTCCTCCTATTTCCCCCCCTGCAGTAAGTCTAGTCCTCCTCCTATTCCCCCCCTGCAGTAAGTCTAGTCCTCCTCCTATTCCCCCCCCTGCAGTAAGTCTAGTCCTCCTCCTATTCCCCCCCCTGCAGTAAATCCAGTTCTTCTATTTCCCCCCCTGCAGTAAGTCCAGTCTGTACTCTATCAGAGTAAAGTTGGTGATTTTGGCGATGGGCTCAGGGATGACGAACTCTCTGATCCGTGTGTAGCCCATGTTCTCATACAGCCTCTGTGCATCAGTCTGCACTACAGACGTGTAGAGGATGACAGCAGGGAAGCCTCTCTCCCTGCTGAAGTCTGCCACTGTCCTGCTGAGGGCCTTGGCGATGCCCATACCCCGGTGTGTCCGGCGTACAGACAACCTCTTCAGCTCCATGTAGCCTGGTTCCCTCTCCGCGGGCAGGCAGGCCACCGAACCCACCACCCGGCCGTCGCTCTCAGCCACCCAGAAACACGAGTCCTTGTTCTCCAGGTAGGTCTCCTGGATGTGGTTGAGGTCCTTCTTAAGGGAGGTGTCGATGTAGCTGTTGAAGAGGTAGCCCACCAGCTGCTTGGCCCCGGCCAGGAGGAGAGTGACCGCTACTACAGGCAGCAGGATGGACTTGGAGCTGGCCAGCAGGGCGCAGAACGTGACCATCAGGATCATCTGGGTCAGGGGCCGTTTGAGGAGGTGCATGAAGGAGGAGGGGACGTGCTCGCTCATCCCCATGGTGAAGATCTCCTTCACGGACTCCTTATCGTCTTCCTCAAACCTCCGGATAGTGATGCCAGCCATGGCACTGGTGGGTGGCACTGCTCTGCCCTTCAACAGAGACAACACAGTAAGAGCAGAGTCTAATCACTACCTGCTACCGTTCAGTTCAACAGACAAACAGAGTCATACGCTCGAGTCTCTCTTCCAACAACCCCCCATAAACACACACACACACACTCGTTGTCGTGGCACTAGTCTGCCCTGAAGGACAACTCCGCCACTTGTTTGTTATTACGAAGTATTTATTGATGTCCTACACAGTTTGTGTCATTTTATGATTTCACGTCTATTGTCTGTTTAGTGATTAATTACGGCCACCACATCTGTTTGGTGAATAGGCATATGGTTAACACTTTACATGAAGGTTCCATTTGTAAAAGGTTTATAAAAGGGTTTGTAATTACTTTAACGGTTATTTAATCATTTGTAAATGCATTATAAACCACTAATACATGGATTATAACAAATTGGTCAAACTAGTGCGATAGCCAGTCAGTGCTTGCCAAATAGTGAGCCACTACCTCTATTAACCATGTATAACTGGCCTTAACAATGTGCATAATATTGAACCATTATGTATCATCATGCAACCTCATTTTCAATGGGATGCACAGTTCAACAATAGTTATTTTTCTCACTTTTGGGTGTGATGTATTGATGCTCTGCCCTAGGAACAGAAATGGTTGGTTTTCAGACCATTGGTCAAATCCCATGATGTGTCTTGCCCCACGTTGGAAACCCTGGTGATGCATTGGTACACTTATTTATTCCAGGAATGAAGGCCTCGTCTCAAGATCTCAAGACATATCATTGGTGTGGTTCGCTGGTTTCTGAGAAATTCCCCTGACTTTGTGAGATCTGCCCATCTGTGAAACACGCTTGAAATAAAGACGACCTGGAACGTGGTCTGTGGCTTGTAGGCTGTGTATCGAAGCCAGGAGATGTTCAATGTGTTTATGTTAATGAACGGTCAATTACCGTGAGACCAACAGTTATTTGCTTGACCAATCACCAGCTGATGAAATGTCGTGACCACCACAGCCCTAGCTCTCGCCTCACCTGAATGTCACCTGACTGCATTGCCTGGAAACACAACTCTGGAAAAAAAAAATGAGGATTTGAATCAACCTAGTTGACTAAAACAACCATATGGACTCAGCCAGAATGTTGAATACAATTATATTTTAAACTTCTTTACAGGTTGTCCATGTGGTTGGTCCCTTTGGCAGTAGGAATGTGAGACAATATATCCACAAGAAAGTATAATTACATCACATTTTCAAAGCGCTAGTAGTGCATTCAGACTTCTATCACCTGAAACATGTACAAAACCATGTAAACACTTACCTGAGCTCGGCAATTATGCATGCACTCTCCTGCATGTATTTTTTAAAATAATTTTTATAATTGTATTCAACATTTTGGCTTGTAGAGTTAGAGAGGAAAGTTTCCTTATTCAAACGCTCATTTCTGCCTGACAGAGTGCAATGCAATTCAATGTCGGGTTTCCAGGCAACTGACTGCAGTGTCAATGTCCTATATTTCAGTCATCCAATTAAAGAAGATGCGACATCAAACCCTAGCTATAATAAAAACCGCTATTCGATACCTAGCTAGCTATATTAGTTATTCGTTTCTCCCGATTAGCAAATCATCACGTAACTGTGGTCCTCTGTAGCTCAGCTGGTAGAGCACGGCGCTTGTAACGCCAAGGTAGTGGGTTCGATCCCCGGGACCACCCATACACAAAAAAAAATGTATGCACGCATGACTGTAAGTCGCTTTGGATAAAAGCGTCTGCTAAATGGCATATTATTATTATTATTATAACTCTCCTGGCAAACTAAACCTAGCAAGCTAGGTAGCTATTAGCTCCGAATTGTTACCTAGCTAGCTAGCGAGTTAGCCAGATCACACGTTTTTGCATTCCATCAAAACGTGTATGATTAATCTTTCAGCTGTAATGGAAACGATTTGTAAGTGATAACCCACCTGATTTCGATATGGCTCTGAGAAATATAAATCCAACTTTTGGAGAGAAATCGAACAACTAGAGGTTGTTGTTGTTTGTGTTTCTAACTTCCGCATTCACGGAGGTGGGAGGGATTTAGGCTATGTCTTGTTTCCGATTGGCTGAAAGGAAGATTTAGATTAATTCATTCGCTCCTACACTTATTCCGCAGTTTATTTTGGCACCAATTATAAAAAGGATGAAGAAACACTGCTAAATAAAACGTGGCCAATTTATGTAGAACGGTACAACAAAGGGGGGCAGCTAAACGTGAAATATTATCTTGATATGCCATATTTATAGGATTCAGTGTGGCTCAGTTGGTATAGCATGACGCTTGCAACGCCAGGGTTGTGAGTTCGGGACCAGTACGAAAATGTAGGTACTCGCTATTTTTAAGTCGCTCTGGAGAAGAGCGTCTGCTAAATGATATACACCAGCTCACATATGATTGAATAACTTTTCCACAAGCCACAGCAAAGAGATTGAGTCCATCGGTGGAGACCAATGATGTATTACTGAACAAAAATATGAAGGAACATGTGAAGTGCTCGCTTCGAGGCAAGCAACACTGAAGCATGCATGAGAGCATCAGCTGTTCCGGACGACTGTGTGATCACGCTCTCCGTAGCCGGTGTGAGTAAGGCCTTTAAACAGGTCAACATTCACAAGGTCGCAGGGCCAGACGGATTACCAGGACGTGTACTCCGAGCATGCGCTGACCAACTGGCAAGTGTCTTCACTGACATTTTCAAGTGTCTTCACTGACTGAGTCTGTAATACCAAATCAAATCAAATTTTATTGGTCACATGCGCCGAATACAACAGGTGCAGACATTACAGTGAAATGCTTACTTACAGCATGTTTCAAGCAGACCACCATAGTCCCTGTGCCCAAGAACAATAAGGTAACCTGCCTAAATGACTACCGACCCGTAGTACTCACGTCTGTAGCCATGAAATGCTTTGAAAGGCTGGTCATGGCTCACATCAACACCATTATCCCAGAAACCCTAGACCCACTCCAATTTGCATACTGCCCCAACAGATCCACAGATGATGCAATCTCTATTGCATTCCACACTGCCCTTTTCACACCTGGCCTTAAAAAAAAACTAAGGATAAGAGGCAATTAAGACATTAATGAGCGAGCTACGACGGACGTAGTCAATATAACGCTAGTTGTTCGACTAGACTAGATGAATGAGCTAGGACGGACGTAGTCAATATAACTATTTTTTCAGCACTTTTGAAATGTACAGCGACAAAATTCAGAACATGGGCCGTTCTTACAGTGTTCTCCCTGTACACCAAGTCAGAACCATAGGATAAATAAAGGGGGCATATAAGCAGACAATGAAAGCTCTTAAAATATTTGATGATTCTCTAAAACAGGTTATAGGCTACATATGCACCTCCAAGTCAGAACAGTAGGCTAAATTATGAGGGGGAAAGGGACCAAATTATTAGGGTGAGGCTCATGGTTTACTAAAAGCTTACTACACAACATACACTCAGTATTACTTTCTTAGCTACAGTATACATATCTCCCTGGCATATTACATCATTTAAGCAGCAGCATACAATACATTTTGGGACTCACCTTGTTGTGCTGAGCTCACTTGAACAGGAAGGTGGCGCAGTGGTCCTTGTGTCCTTTGTCATCAAAGTCTGGCATTCTCTGGATTTATGGTGCTTTCAAGACAACTGGGAAAAACAAGGTCGAATCATGACGTCAGTGATCTTCAGGTCGGAGCTCTAGAAAGAGGCCCGAGTTCCTTCTGAGTTGGATGACCGTTCAAAACTTATTTTCCCTGTCGGACCTAGTTTTTTTCAGAGTTCCCAGTTGTCTTGAACTCACTGAAGTCTGAGATTTCCCAGTTCCGAGTTTCCAGTTGTTTTGAACGCGGCAGAAGTCATGCTGGATTGACAGCATGGCCAATGTATTCAACCGTTTCTGGCCCTTGTTGAATGTTTATCCTTTCAAGCTTGGAAAAAGACCCTTAAACCCAGACTTGCAAAGCAGGCTAGTGATTGCTTTGCAACACTTGCAGTTAGCCACTGATTCCTTCCAAACCACTCATTGTTGAATTTGCGATTTCCAACTTGTGTAATGTTTATGTCCAATGGCCGATGAGCACCGATACGTTTTATCTATAATTTCTCTTCATATGACAAGGATTGAAAAATATTTGCCAGTAGATTGTCGACGTGATTCATGATGATGACTGCTTGTCTAGCTTGCTAGCTAAGATTTTGAAAGTATGATGTTGACATGATTAAATCCAATCAAAGCTACCGTAGATATAACGTGATTTGATGTCATTTTATCTGTGGCCAATGACCTTGGGCCTTCTTGGATGGGCACTAACTCTGGCAGTACCCAAGGGGCTTGAATTTTCTAGCTCTCCCTGTAGATTTTGCGGTGATGTAGTGTCCCCACGAGTGACAGAACACTGAGCCAATCACGGCGCAACTAGAGAACATTACCAACCCCTACGCTCCGTATGTTCCGCTGGCTGCCCCACCACCACCACAGAAAGCACTGAGCTAGGCTGAAACACCTGCATTTTGGAGCTGCCTTACTCAAGAAAGCAAAAAAAGAGACCATGTTTGTATGTGGCTTTATTAACTCAATGATGTGACACGTATTCGTTCCAAAATAACACGCAAAACAGGCCTGCCCAACCTGCCCTGAATGATGGGTCGCCACTGATTATGACTCATAATGTGGTACTCTATTGACAGGCTTTGAAGCCACTGGTCGGCCATTTTGGCAATCCCCCAGTAGAAGCAGTCCTCCATAGGAATGAATGGAATTCTCCAGTATTTCAATTAAATGTTTCAAGGACAAAATTACGTGTATTTAAGTATTTTTGTTGTTGTAGCGGGGACAGTAACATTAGTAATTTAAAAAATATATATACTTGAAAGAAAATGCTTTTATATGCTTTATTTTTTTATTTGTATGTTTAGCTCACATAATATTTACATTTACATTTACATGCTAGTCATTTAGCAGACGCTCTTATCCAGAGCGACTTACAGTTAGTGCATACAATTTTTCATACTGGCCCCCGTAATTTAAAAGTATGCATTAAGGTGTCTGCAATAGAATAAATGTGGCAAAGACGAATGTAGACGTTAATAAATGCATTTCTAAAATACTTTTTATAACGGTGGGGGGAGCGCCAAGATGGAGGCACGGCGGCATCGACACAGCGCCCCCTACCGGTCATCTAGTGTATATATAAATCACTGGTGGAGACACAACAACGGATCATCATCCGTTCAAGTAAAAGCTTGTTCACAAGTACGTTGTAAAGACTGAAAAAATAATTTGATTGAAAACGTTTGTTTCTTTATTTCATTTACACTAGCTACATGATTGTTCCCTCTTTTTGAACTATAACGATAGTCAGAAAAACAAACAAACAAACAAATAAAAGGACAATTATTCAGTTTCCCAGTAAACAATTAGTGTTGGTGTAAAACAAGACGTTATGCATGCACTTCCCAGCCCGATGTGATATCGGAGCGGAATGAAAGCAACTCTGTTCATTTACGTTTTGTTCTTTGAAATTATTTATTTCGCTCATTGTTCCTCTCCCTCCCTTGTTCTCCTCTCCCTCCCTTGTTCTCCTCTCCCTCCCTTGTTCTCCTCTCCCTCCCTTGTTCTCCTCTCCCTCCCTTGTTCTCCTCTCCCTCCCTTGTTCTCCTCTCCCTCCCTTGTTCTCCTCTCTCCTCCCTTGTTCTCCTCTCCCTCCCTTGTTTCTCCTCTCCCTCCCTTGTTCTCCTCTCCCTCCCTTGTTCTCCTCTCCCTCCCTTGTTCTCCTCTCTCCTCCCCTCTCCCTTGTTCTCCTCTCCCTTCCTCTTCTGTTCTCCTCTCCCTCCCTTGTCTCCTCTCCCTCCATTGTTCTCCTCTCCCTCCCTTGTTCTCCTCTCCCTCCCTTGTTTCTTCTCCTCTCCCTCCCTTGTTCTCCTCTCCCTCCCTTGTTCTCCTCTCCTCCCTGTCTCCTCCTCCCTTGTTCTCCTCTCCCTCCCTTGTTCTCCTCTCCCTCCCTTGTTCTCCTCTCCTCTCCCTTGTTCTCCTCTCCTCCCTCCCTTGTTCTCCTCTCCTCCCTGTCTCCTCCCCTCCCTGTTCTCCTCTCCTCCCTTGTTCTCCTCTCCACTCCCTTGTTCTCCTCTCCCTCCCTTGTTCTCCTCTCCCTCCCTTGTGTCTCTCCCTTCTCCTTGTTCTCTCCCCTCCCTTGTTCTCCAACTCCTCCCATTGTTGTATCACCAATCTGATGCATGATGCCATGAACCTTAGCCCCCCACCTATTGCTCCTAAAGAGTGGCCTCGCTGATGCATGGGATTCTACGGCATTTCAATAAAAATATGGTGGCACGGTGGCTTCAAAACAGCGCCCCCTGACAGTCATCTAGTGTTCAATCGCTACATCATTGGCTCTAACCCAGGTTGATCTCACCAACGAACATGGTGATGAGCAGGATGATAGCGAACCCGGTGAGCAGCCCAGCGTTCTGGATCAGGAAGAAGATGACGTTGGTCACCGTCGACCCGTCCTGTTCATTCACGATGGCGTTCATCTCTGGGAACTGAAATTACAACCAACCAGTTTTAAACCAACAGTTAAATATCAGATTCTGTTTATTACAACCTAACAGTTACATATCAGATTCCATTTCTTCCCAAAATATCAGATTCATTTCAGTCTCTCTCTCCCTCTCTCTTTCACTCACTCTCTCACCCTCGCTCTACCATCCTCCCTCCCTCCCGCCCTCCCTCCCTCCCTCCCTCCCTCCCTCCCTCCCTCCCTCCCTCCCTCCCTCCCCCTCCCTCCTTCCCTCCCTCCCTCCCTCCCTCCCCTCCCTCCATTACAGCTATCATCAGGTCACAGTGTTTTGCTGTGCTCCCTCCCTCCCTCCCTCCCTCCCTCCCTCCTTCCCTCCCTCCCTCCCTCCCTCCCCCCCCTCCCCCCCCTCCCTCCCTCCATTACAGCTATCATCAGGTCCCAGTGTTTTGCTGTGCTCCTTCCCTCCGTGGGGTAGAAGCAGCTCTGCAGCTGTGATAACACATCAACTGATAACACATACAGTATGGTATGATGGGAAACTGACTGTATATGGACACTACTGGGTCATTCAGTGGTTGGGTCCTTAATAATGACCCATCTGCTCTCCCTGCACAACCAGAGAACCTTCATACTAAACTCAATATGGACTACTACTGAGCTATTTAACAGTTAGATCCTGATTTCTCTAATGCCATTACATGTACACCGTGCTGGGCAGCTGAAGGTTGAACGGCATGTACACAGCACATTGAAGTTAAAAACTAAAGAAAAATCAGGAAATCAGTCAGGATGGGAACTAAAGGGATGCATCGTAATCTGGGAGTTGAAGCAGATCAGATGGCATTGAGAGTGAAGGAAGCATCATGGGAGAATCTCAATTGCATTTCCTTGATTCCTCTCTCCTCATCTCCTCAATGTCCCTCCCCTCTGCGAGGAATGCGAGGAATCAAGGAAATGCAATTGAGATTTCCCATGTCACCCACCATGTCTGCCAGTGCTATGTAGAAGAACATTCCCCTCGCCATGTCTGCCAGTGCTATGTAGAAGAACATTCCCCTCACCATGTCTGCCAGTGCTATGTAGAAGAACATTCCCCTCACCATGTCTGCCAGTGCTATGTAGAGGAACATTCCCCTCACCATGTCTGCCAGTGCTATGTAGAAGAACATTCCCCTCACCATGTCTGCCAGTGCTATGTAGAAGAACATTCCCCTCACCATGTCTGCCAGTGCTATGTAGAGGAACATTCCCCTCACCATGTCTGCCAGTGCTATGTAGAAGAACATTCCCCTCACCATGTCTGCCAGTGCTATGTAGAAGAACATTCCCCTCACCATGTCTGCCAGTGCTATGTAGAAGAACATTCCCCTCACCATGTCTGCCAGTGCTATGTAGAAGAACATTCCCCTCACCATGTCTGCCAGTGCTATGTAGAAGAACATTCCCCTCACCATGTCTGCCAGTGCTATGTAGAAGAACATTCCCCTCACCATGTCTGCCAGTGCTATGTAGAGGAACATTCCCCTCACCATGTCTGCCAGTGCTATGTAGAAGAACATTCCCCTCACCATGTCTGCCAGTGCTATGTAGAGGAACATTCCCCTCACCATGTCTGCCAGTGCTATGTAGAAGAACATTCCCCTCACCATGTCTGCCAGTGCTATGTAGAAGAACATTCCCCTCACCATGTCTGCCAGTGCTATGTAGAAGAACATTCCCCTCACCATGTCTGCCAGTGCTATGTAGAAGAACATTCCCCTCACCATGTCTGCCAGTGCTATGTAGAAGAACATTCCCCTCACCATGTCTGCCAGTGCTATGTAGAGGAACATTCCCCTCACCATGTCTGCCAGTGCTATGTAGAAGAACATTCCCCTCACCATGTCTGCCAGTGCTATGTAGAGGAACATTCCCCCAGCGATGGCGAAGATTGCATTGGGGGCGAAGTTGCTCCCCAGCAGGATGCCGAAGGCCAGGCCAATGTAGCAGGACATGGCCGACAGCAGGTTGAAGAAGACGGCCTGGGGGATACTCATCCCTGCGTTCAGCAGGATCACAAAGTCCCCTGCAGGAGGGGCCAAGAGAGACAGCAACATGTTCCGTAACAGTAGATACATTGAGGAACCAGCATTTACTTTTAGTTATGTTTGTTAACAAAAAATTGCCAAGTGATTTAAAAAAAAATTCAGATGAAGGTTGGTTTAGTTCAGCCAAGTTGCTTACTGCTGTTACTGTAAAATCACTTTGTGACAACTGCTAACAGAGAAAGGACATTATAGATACATGTGATTGATTGACCCCTCACCTAGTTCATGGGGGAACTCCTCACAGACAATGGCGATGGAGGTACTGAAACCAGCAACGACGGACACGGTAAAGGAGGCTCCGATCGCCAGGCCGTCGATGAAGTTGTGCAACGCGTCACTCAGTGTGATCATCCAGGCCACCGTCTTTATGTTGGCGATGCGCTGACCCCGCAGCCAGTGGCACATCACATGATTGACATGGACTTCCTGCTGGGACAACATCACAGAGGAAGGAGGAGGAGGAAAGGAGAGCAGATCTGGATATCTAGTTAATATAACATATATTTACTATATAATATGTCATAGTCTAGTTAATTTAATATATATTTACTATATAATATGTCATAGTCTAGTTAATTTAATATATATTTACTATATAATATGTCATAGTCTAGTTAATTTAACATATATTTACTATATAATATGTCATAGTCTAGTTAATTTAACATATATTTACTATATAATATGTCATAGTCTAGTTAATTTAACATATATTTACTATATAATATGTCATAGTCTAGTTAATTTAACATATATTTACTATATAATATGTCATAGTCTAGTTAATTTAATATATATTTACTATATAATATGTCATAGTCTAGTTAATTTAATATATATTTACTATATAATATGTCATAGTCTAGTTAATTTAACATATATTTACTATATAATATGTCATAGTCTAGTTAATTTAACATATATTTACTATATAATATGTCATAGTCTAGTTAATTTAACATATATTTACTATATAATATGTCATAGTCTAGTTAATTTAACATATATTTACTATATAATATGTCATAGTCTAGTTAATTTAACATATATTTACTATATAATATGTCATAGTCTAGTTAATTTAACATATATTTACTATATAATATGTCATAGTCTAGTTAATATAACATATATTTACTATATAATATGTCATAGTCTAGTTAATTTAACATATATTTACTATATAATATGTCATAGTCTAGTTAATTTAACATATATTTACTATATAATATGTCATAGTCTAGTTAATTTAATATATATTTACTATATAATATGTCATAGTCTAGTTAATTTAACATATATTTACTATATAATATGTCATAGTCTAGTTAATTTAACATATATTTACTATATAATGCCATAGTCTAGTTAATTTAACATATATTTACTATATAATATGTCATAGTCTAGTTAATTTAACATATATTTACTATATAATATGTCATAGTCTAGTTAATTTAACATATATTTACTATATAATGTCATAGTCTAGTTAATTTAACATATATTTACTATATAATATGTCATAGTCTAGTTAATTTAATATATATTTACTATATAATATGTCATAGTCTAGTTAATTTAACATATATTTACTATATAATATGTCATAGTCTAGTTAATTTAACATATATTTACTATATAATATGTCATAGTCTAGTTAATTTAATATATATTTACTATATAATATGTCATAGTCTAGTTAATTTAACATATATTTACTATATAATATGTCATAGTCTAGTTAATTTAATATATATTTACTATATAATATGTCATAGTCTAGTTAATTTAACATATATTTACTATATAATATGTCATAGCCTAGTTAATATAACATATATTTACTATATAATATGTCATAGTCTAGTTAATTTAACATATATTTACTATATAATACGTTTACTATGTAACATAATTGTTAGTATTTTTACTTCAATCTGAAAACTAAAGAAACACAACAGCAATCAGATGCTGTATGTAAATAATACAATGGTTGGTCGGTAGCTTCTCTGCTGCTGTGACAAACCAGCTCCCTATTGGCCAGAACAGGCAGCCTTTGGTCGGTAGCTTCTCTGCTGCTGTGACAAACCAGCTCCCTATTGGCCAGAACAGGCAGCCTTTGGTCGGTAGCTTCTCTGCTGCTGTGACAAACCAGCTCCCTATTGGCCAGAACAGGCAGCCTTTGGTCGGTAGCTTCTCTGCTGCTGTGACAAACCAGCTCCCTATTGGCCAGAACAGGCAGCCTTTGGTCGGTAGCTTCTCTGCTGCTGTGACAAACCAGCTCCCTATTGGCCAGAACAGGCAGCCTTTGGTCGGTAGCTTCTCTGCTGCTGTGACAAACCAGCTCCCTATTGGCCAGAACAGGCAGCCTTTGGTCGGTAGCTTCTCTGCTGCTGTGACAAACCAGCTCCCTATTGGCCAGAACAGGCAGCCTTTGGTCGGTAGCTTCTCTGCTGCTGTGACAAACCAGCTCCCTATTGGCCAGAACAGGCAGCCTTTGGTCGGTAGCTTCTCTGCTGCTGTGACAAACCAGCTCCCTATTGGCCAGAACAGGCAGCCTTTGGTCGGTAGCTTCTCTGCTGCTGTGACAAACCAGCTCAC